GTAAAGCCTTACTGAAAAAAAAAACTATTGTATAATAGTGGAAATTCAAAACTCAAGCTTGTCTTTACCCTTAAAATCAAAGCATCCTGTGATGCCCATGCTTGCAGATGTTGGTCACTGAGCAGTTATAGTCCCCATAGTACTAATATACCACCGCATGTGAAGCCACTGACAGATGGGAAGACACAGCTGCTATTCACGAAGGCCAGAGGGTTAAACCCAGAATCTTCCCATCTCAGACCCAAACATGTCAGATCTCATATCCCTATGCTTATTTGGATCATCCTCTTGTAGCACTCCTGCAGTACTGATAATGAAAAGGTTTATTTCTCAAAGCAAATTATATTTTTAAAGACTTTTATATTTTAGATGAAAACACTTTAAACTTTAGAAGTTCAACTTTAGCTCATAGTATCTTTTGCAATAATACACTGAGAACATTTAGTTATATTCAAGGTCAAAGCAGTGTGGATGTATCTCTGTACTGATTGCATTCCTTTTAGCCCTGAGCTCCAGGAATATATAATAGCGACCTTTGTTAACAGACAGAGATCGTAATATGAATTTAAAAGTCGTAGTGTGCTGTCTCTGATTATCTTTTGTGAAATATGATTTCCACAAACAAGCAGCCCCTCTCACAGATAAGCACTAGCATGAGTAGAACTGATATAAGCAGCATGGCACATTAATTAACATTGATATGAATAGTTCCTGTGATTATGCGGATGGTCATCATTTTCATCCTAAAACTTTGTGCGTCACAAATCGCCATGGAGACTGCTGACAGCAAAGCCTCTGTGAGAATGTCCATCTCTCGTGATCAGAATTGTTAAGCTAACCCTACAGCTGAAGAAATAAGAAAGCTCTTATCAGTGCCGGATATAAGTTACAGCTCTGAGCAGATGTGAGCATCTGCAGAACATCTTGTCTAGTAGTTCCCCCCAGCTAACACTATCCAGACACAGGCACATTTGGCATGCTTCGTATGATGGCTAACTGGCTTTGCATGCACTCATGCAACCTCTTTGTTCTACCACTAGGGTTTATATGCAGCATACTTAGAGGGTTCGTAAACCTATTCTGGCACTGCGTTGAAGAAGAACTTCTGTTGCAGCTATTTTCTGTCCAAAACAAAACATGATTCATGACTTTTAATGGTCAGACATTAGCCTGAGGTTTCAGCAGATGCTAGGCCTACACCAGGGCACTTGTTTGCCTTTAGTGTGAAAGAGACTTTAGGGGAAAATTTTAACTTTAAATTAAACTTTCCAAATCTCTGAAGTGCCTTTGTTCTCTCTTTCAAAAAAGTAACAAAGTGGTACCATTTTACAATTATGGTATCAGATGAATGATTAGTCCATTCATATGCACTACCGTGTTTTTTTTTTACATAATAATCTAAGATACTTGAAAGATACTCAAAACATTATGGTAAAACCATGGTAATTTTTTAAGCTCCATAATTATCCACCTTATATTTTACAGAAGAGCAGGCACAGCCAGTTTTAAATTCACTATGCACGGCTTCCTGTGTCATCTATTTCCAGTCTGTTAAGCTGCTTGATATTGCAAACTTTTTTTTATAGTATTTTCATTTATTATCATAATCATAAACTCACTGGTTAGTTGCATGGACAGTTTTGCTGTTTACTGCACTTATTCTTATTGTTAAATTGCAGCTAATTAAACAAAAGTCTTGCACATTCGCAGAAATAGCTTACTTCCATGTTGAAAAATAAGATGGTTGTAAGTCTTTGCAGTCATGTTGTTTTTGTTAATGTTTGGCTTAAATTAGTAAATTAGGCTGCTGATATGACTGGAGCCATCTTATCTGTACATGATTGTGAACATATTTTTCAGAAATGCATAGTTCAGTCTTGAAACTCTTCTGAGTTGCTGAGTGATTCTTCAAAATCAACAGTGTAGCAAATCAATCTCTCTTTCCTATCTAAGCAACCTTATTTATTTCCATCATGATCTGTTCCAGCTCTGTACTCTGCATCATGAGACTTTTCTTCAACCTTCCTCCTCCCCAGCACCACCTGTCTAGATCTATTGCAGGCGATTCTCCCTACTTTACACCGCAGCCACAGCATGGAGGTAAAACAAGCCTCTAAATCCTTCTCCTTAGACTGGTGGATTTAGTGGACTTTGATTTGTAGTGCACTTTATCTTAAATTAAATTTCTCTGATGTACAGACCCTGGGCTATGTTCCACTCCAGAAGCTTTGGGATGTCCCCCACACTGAGACCTGCAAAGGACTACCTATTTTCCAAGCCTCCTTGTGACCACTATGCTTGCTGCCAACCAGGGCCGGATTTATGCATAGGCATTCTAGGCACGTGCCTATGCTTGCTCGTCCAGGCACGCACTCGCGCACACATGCGGACAGAAACTTGTCGTCAACGCCGCCCCGCGAATTTATCAATAAAATAGTTTCGCAGCTGAAAAGCTGCATGACACTTCTCAGTAGGGAGGTTCTTGAAGCAGTTTAACTTAAAGATTCGCTATTAGTAGTGTGTTGCTGAACACTACTGAGAGACGCACAGACGCAGGAATTCACACGCGCTTAATCTCTCTCTCTCTCTCTCTCTCTCTCTCGCTCTAATAACTGCATTAGATTGCATTAATAACTGCATTAGCCTGCATATCAATGGCTCAAGCCTATGTTATTAGCTCTAAAATGACGTTTTGGAATTTGCAATGGAAGGTTTGGGATGAGGTCCGTAAAAAATAGTTCAACACATTTCAGGACGGAAACATGTCAAATGTCTTGAAACAAATCATCTGAGCAATGTCTTGATGTGTGGTTGTGACTCCAGGCCGTTAAAATTATTAGAGAAATAACTCCCGAAGTGGTACGCCGCGCCTATTAATGGAATGATCTTTCTGAGTTCTCAAACAAATTAAGAGCTACATTCGATTTTGACTGAACGCAAGCGCTTATTGCGATAGAAAACACTGTAACGTTTCCACTGATTAAGAAATATTTTTGCTTGCTTGGGTGGTAATATTAAGCCTATTATATTAAATGGGAAAGGGGGCCCAAACATCCACTGATTAAGAAATATTTTTGCTTGCTTGCTTGCTAATATTAGGCCTATTATATTAATAGGGAAGGGGGGCCCAAACATTTGTTTTGCCTATGTCACGAAAAGAGGTAAATCCGGCCCTGCTGCCAACATAATGTTCTCTTAGTCTGCACACTACTGGCCAATGAGCCTCTGGGGCTGAACGTCTCATTGTACAGACTCAAGATCAGCTCTTTGATAGAAAATGAAATAGACAGTAAAACATTTTAAGAGCATAATGGTGCTTAATGAAATAAGCAGAATGTGCAGGTTTATTGCTCTTGCACAGGCCAAAAAAATACCTTCCTTATTTGAAGATGATATGAGCAGGCTCATATTTGCTCTCTAGATATGAACAATGCAAGTAAAGAAAAATCTAATTTGAATAATGACAACAACCTCTTCAACATAGACATTTACAGGTGCAGTTGGCTCCTGCAGTCATAAAGCGACTTTGTAAACACACTAAAAGTGGTTGTCATGGTGATGACGTGAATTCTTCACCATCCTTCACCTTTTCTTTTGTACACGTTTTTTTTTTAATCTTACTGATCTACTCAGTAAGTTAATAATGTGAAACAATGGATTAAATAGGCCTATTTTTTTTTATTACTCCAGAATAATATAACAACTCTCACAAAGCAATTCACATTCAAAAGTAACACTTTAATGTACTACATTCTTTTGTCTGTACCGCTTTACCAACTAACAAAATCATGTTCTAAGAACGTTTGCTAACATTCCCATTAAGTTGAGAATAATGTTGTTTCTGAATGTTCTCTGAATGCTCAAAACATCCAGTTTTTAAAATATTTTAAAAGGATGTTTCTTGGCTATGCATTAATGTTAAAACATAAAGGGAAAATTAATTTGATCATTTTACAAACAGTGTGAAGATTTGGATTTTCCTGAATGTTCAAAAACAAGCAGTACGTATTAACAAAAAACAAAACAAAAAACCTTAGACGTACATCCAGTGTTTCATGGACAAAATAATGTTTATAAGCTAACTTTTTGAGAGCATTTTTAAAAACCGGATAACTTTAAATATTTTTTTTTCTGGAGGAACATTTGTTCATAAATTTAAGGGAACCTTGTCAGATCATTAGTCAAAGTTCTGAGAACATTTCCTGTTAACTGGGTTCACTCATTAACACTGACACACACACACACACACACACACACACACTTTCAGAGTCAAAGTGAGGGCTCTTTGTTTTTTGTTCAGCATATTTTATTTTTTATTTATTTATTTTTGCTGGTTATCTGCTTTCTCTCTTCCTCTTGATACAACTTCCTCTGAGAGAGAATTTGTTCCTGTCTCTGTGATACTGACACTCTCCAGGTGGCCCAGCATTGTCAGTCATTTACTGGACATAACACCTGACAGTTATAAATAAAAGCATGTTTACGTGTACAATGATTAAAAAAAACCACTGATATTTGCATATTTTGTTTGTATCTATGTAACGATGAAGAGAAAGTGTCTAATGCCCTTTAGATGGTGTCTGTGTGTGTGTGTAGTCACAGGACTGCTGGCAGACACAGGCTTAGTTCCTGTTCTGTCTCCTATTAGTCCATCTGTTTCCTCAGGCCCGACAGTGTCTCTTCTCCACTCACATTCACATCTCCTTTTGCTTCTGAGCCTCCGCCCACAAACCCAACTCTTGCACCATCAACAAAGGTGTTCAGTTAGCGCACACCAGAGTTTCTGTGCTTTATATCTTTCCATTGTTATTTCACACGATCTGTGACATGATATCAACTGTGGTCTAGGTTTGCAGTAGTTTTACAATAACTATGCATAGCTTGTTTGGCATGCAAATTTCATGTGGGACACATTTAGTTAGAAAACTGTATGTGTATTATAGAGTGGCCAACTCAAATCAAAATATAATGCAGCAGTATTCAGAGTCTCCATCCAAATATGTCTTTCATGATAAGTTTATTGTGTGTGAAGCTGACAGATCTTGGCTAAGAATAAAAAAAAGATACATAGGAGTGCAAAAACAAAACAAAAGAACCCCCCCCCCGAAAAACTACATCATTGTGGGAAAAACTACACATTCGTGGTGCGTAACGAATGCAAAGGTGAGTGTCCGAGAAATGTGTTACAACAGTTCCCAAAAGTGAGTCCACTTCACTCCCTGCAAAAAACGTACTCGGTGTAACTCGTCCAGATTTTGTCCTCGTTGGGGTCGTTACTCGCGTACGCGCAGGTGCCCGTGGAACTACACGCAACCATGTGGAAGCCCACCTCCGCCAGCATGTCAAAGGCTTGCTCCAGGAAATTATACTTGAGGTAATACCGAGAAGTGTATCTCTCTGGGGGTCTGTCGGGGTCTCTGCTCTCGTTCAGAGTCTCCCCGAAAACTTCTTTGGCGAGCCAAAAATATGGAGAACCTTTTTATTATATATATATATATATATATACATATACAGTATATATATAGGTACTCACTCATTATGGAACAGGTTGCTATTTTACTACTGGGATGACATTTTATTTTTGTCTCTGTTGTGTCTGTTGAGCTTCTTGATGTACTCAATAAAAAAAATACAAAATACAAAATAAAAAACTTAATCTTATATAAGGAAACTTGTAAATGCAGGAATGTAATTCACTTTTAATATCACAAAATATGAAGAACTTGTATAAAGATTGATTTGATTTCATTGAGAGTATCATTGAGAGTAGGCCTACATTGTGTGCTTCCTCCAGTCCAAACCTACAGTGTTTAAATACTGAAAATTGCTATCAGCGGTTGTTTGAATTCTGGGAACAGACGACAGATTTGGGAGATCAGCCATTATTAAATTATTACTTACAACACAAAATATGCACAAAACGTCTGCCCAGCGACAGTCTTTACGTGTTGACATTGTGGGAAAAACTACACATTCGTGGTGCGTAACGAATGCAAAGGTGAGTGTCCGAGAAATGTGTTACAACAGTTCCCAAAAGTGAGTCCACTTCACTCCCTGCAAAAAACGTACTCGGTGTAACTCGTCCAGATTTTGTCCTCGTTGGGGTCGTTACTCGCGTACGCGCAGGTGCCAGTGGAGCTGCACGCAACCATGTGGAATGTCCCTGTCCAAAAAGTAGCGTCCTTTGCTGTCGGTGGTAAGTTCCGCGGGTTTTTTCTGACTGAACATTGTCCAAAGTAAAGAATTGGGCACGGAGAGTAAAGTTGAGTGGCGCGTAACGTAAACTTGCCCCCCGACATTGAGCTCAATAATTTCGGGGAATCGCTGGGAAGCGTCCGCGCGACTCTTGTCCATCTCTGCACAGCTGAGCGAGACCTCCGGTGCAATCACGGGACTGAAGAAGAGTGGAATATTTCAGCTTTATGTAGGCTAAACAGAGTTACGTAGGAGGAGGAAACTGACGGCTGTATTAACTCTTTGCTACCACCAAGGGTTTTTTAACTCTTTTTTTTTTTTTTGCAATCGTTGTCATTTGTGCGCAAATTGATGTTTCTTGATCCAGTAGGCTATGATCTGAGGAGGTTCCAGAGATCAAAGATTGTTCAAATGGAAACATTTTTTTAAAGTGGATTCCACATGATCGGAGTAACAAATGTGTTCTTTTGATTGCTGACAAAGTAATATTGCAGAATCTGAACAAGGAGGAGAAGCGATTCATGGATCGTGCTTACCTCTGCATCTGAAATGGAAGCTTCTGTATTATTCATCTCGTTGAATTCTCGGTCAGTAATAGGCATTATAATATGTAATAATAGTTGTGATCTAAAAAAAAAAAAAATGAGGAAGTTACAACTCTGAAATGCTAATAGTCATTTGAAGTATGACATGTAAGACCTGGATAGTTC